TCTAAATTATGAAGTTATAATAATTTTGAACTTTCTCAATTTATCATTTTCAGTTTTTGTTTTCACATATTTTTCATTTATCCCATCTATCTTTTTCCATGCCCTTAAAGTTTTGTATATTTCTTTGTTTCTGTATTATTTTTGTATTACTTTTGTGTCATTTTGTTTTGCGTGTTCTGATTTTCTAGTTACGAATTTTCTTCTGTGATAGGTTAAAACTTTCTAAACCTATTGTTTTCATCTTTGGTATAATTTTCTTTTTTTTTTTCAGTTGCATTGAGATTAAATTATATTTATTAGTTCGAAATGACAATTGAAATCACCCAAAAAATAAAATGAAAACACACTTAAACTCTCAAAATGTTTATCTTAATTCTAGATTAAATTTGAGTTTCATTTATTTTATGTTGATGCTTTATAATGAATGTGAACATATTTAAATTCAAATTAAATAGCTTTTATATGCATTAATATTTTGAGACATGTTAAAAAAAATTTCCTCTCAAATGATGAGGTGTCAATTTCTGAAGAGCTCGCTTCATCTATTATACATAGAATTTTGGGGGGATTTATTGTAGGTTTTTAAATTTTAGTTGTAAATAAAGAAATCAAATAAAACTAAATTTGTAATTTTCGATTTCATACAAATTAATGATTTTTTTTTTGATCATATATTTCGATTTTATACAAGTTATATATTAATTAGTTACGTTCCTTTGTCATTTTATTTGATGTGAGATTCTTTCTACAAACTTTTTCTCGAGATAATGACTATTCTAGCCATTATTTTCAGTGAGTCAACATGTATTTGGTCTTTGAATCTATGTTAAATTACATGAGGATTCAACTTAAAACCAATTAGTAATGAATTGATGATTTCATATCTATTAAAAATCAATTAGTTCTCATCTTTCCCATGTGAGATATTTTTCAACGTTTTATTGCTCCAGTTACGATGGAATTAATATCTAAAATTGTTTTTTATTCTTCAATTTTTAATTATACTTTATTCATATTGCTTGTTTCCCACTAAGGGACATCATTTGAAAGTACAATTGCTAGAAGATCTTCAAAACTGAGATAAACAAAGAGATGCAAGAAACTCGAAACTGATGTGAAGCCATAGAGACCGCAAGACTTCGTGATGAATTACTGCTGAACATAACGAAACCAAGTAGGCAAAAAGCTTTCCAGTACATTTTTTTTTGATAAGTCTTTCCAGTACATTTGAGGAGGCTGAAATAGAATTCATTCTGATTTGAAGCTGATAACGATCCAAACCGGCAAGCTTTGCTCAGATAACAAGTTGAAATTTCTATAACAATAAGAGTGCCTGATTTGGAGGTCAATGGATGAAGCCGAGAGTTCCTTTCTCACCACAAGTCACATGGGAATAAGCACACACTCAAATAATAGATGTGATCAACTTTTAGCTGAGCTACACAATAAACATTCACTAGGAATATTCATTACAAAGTTTTATTTAGGAGAGGTTTAGTTCGGCGAGGACATCGTCACTTGGGTTAGGTCGGCTTCTCGTAATAGAAAACTTAAAGCAATATGTAAACTGATTCTCCATGATGTTGTCTATTGTTTACGGAGCGAAAGGAATTCTAAAATTCACTCTTCATCACCATAAATGAACATATCACAGAACGTCCACCCACAAAGCTTCTTGGCAACTTGGTTCGGTTTCATTCAATGTTGACTCTTTTCATTCGTCTTGCTTCACTTAAATCTTGCTGGTTTGTTTTGCTTTAATTTCTTTTCTATTCATCTTCTTGTTTCCAAATATAACTTTTAAATGCTGTCTATTTTGGGAAATAAGAAGATGAATAATTAAAGTTTATATTAAAAAAAAAGGTTTATTTCGGCAACTAACATAGCTGATAGATTTACTTATATTTGATGCAATTACTGTATCATCAAGTGCACTTAATATAGAGAATATATTAATCTTGATTTGCAAGTAAAATCGAGAATTCTGTCAAGATATTCTACGGCTAAAAGCAGTCAATACGTGTGAAAGACGTCCGCCCATTTTCTAAGAACCTAATCCAAATTTTGTTCTTTTAGTGAAAATATATCTGTGTGATCTTTTTGTTCGTTAATGAAGAATTCTCTTTCTTGCCATATCATTATTGTTAATATCCTACCGAAAAGAAAATCTTTTAAAACAAACCAATTAAAATCGTAATTTGAATTACCTATTAAGCACAAACCAATTAAAACTTTATTTCGCTTATCAGAAAATATAACAGGCCACACGAATCTTTTTGCAGTTTTTAAATTTGTTTTTTTTGGACTCTTTTTTTTTCTTTCAAATTTTGATATAGATTTCAGTTTTTGGTTTTTATCTACAAATTTTATTTTAAGTAAAACGTCTTTTAAGTTTTCTGTTTTAATTTTTAAATTTTATTGTGTATAAAAATTACGAAAATCTATATAATAAAATTTTAAATAATAATAAAAAATTAAAAAATCTATATATTTTAAGGAAATTAAAATAGAATTTGGTTTCTGGATTCTGCGAAGAAATTGGTAAAATCATCTCAATTTTCATTTATTAGGAAACAATTTTATCATAAAGCTTATAAATTGGTTTTTGCAAAATCGAAAACCAAAAACACTTCAGATCAATCTGCAGCCATTCAAGATTTCTCTACTCCTCCTAAATTTACAATAAATTTTATTTCTTATATATAATTTAGCCTTTTTGAAGAGTTAAATAAACGGAAAAAAAGAAGACGATGCTGAGAAAAAACAAAAAAATGAAAAGAGAAGATTTAATGGCGGTGCCTGTGAAGCTTCCGTGCGAATTGGAGGAAGATATACTCTCTCGGCTTCCACCTCTCTCTCTTGCTCGTTTCAGATCAGTTTGCAAACAATGGAATGATCTTTTCAACGAAAATAGGTTCATCAACGACCACTTTGGCCGCGCCCGGCCTCAATTCATCTTCCTGGACAATTCCAATATTTATTCGATAGAAATCATCGGTTTAGACGGCATTGATCCAACGATAGAATTGCGTGAGCTAGCCTCCTCTGGTATTCCTTACCGGGAATTAAATTTGGATCACACAACCATCACTTCTTGCGATGGGTTCTTGTTTTGTAACTTTTTTGTTTCGGCTAAGGGGACAGCACTTTGGAATCCGTGGTTGAGACAGGTTAAATGGATCGAGTACGAGGATAAAGACTTCTATGTTTTTGGCTTAGGATACGATAATACTATACCGAAAAAGTTTTACAAGATCTTTGGGTATTTTGTGCGTCATCGTCAAGTGACTCAAGTCCAGAGAGATTACCACCAGAGAGTTGCCATTTACGAGTGTGTGTCTCAAGCGTTTAAGTATATTGATACACCTGACGAGGACTGGCCCATAAAGCAAGCTACACGAGGAAATGTGTCCTTGAACGGAAATCTCTATTGGGTTGCTTGTAATCCCAACACTCATGAGTATTTCATCCAAAGCTTTGATTTCTCGAGGGATATATTCAAAGCTTTTTGTCTCACTCCGTGTAGGAAGAACCGATCTCGCGATGTACTTTTCCTCTCCGTTTTTAAGGGAGATGGGTTTTCCTTGTTAAAGCAATGTTATGTGACAAGGAGCGTCGAGATTTGGGTTACGAAGAAGAAGATTGATACTAGTAACAACAGTGGAGAGGATATTGTGTGGATTAACTTAATGATTTTGCCAACAACTAACTTGCCAAGCTTAATTAATAAGTTTTATGGCATTAGTTATTTCATCTATGACAAGACCACCCTTATCATGTGTTGTTGTGACGATGAAAATAGAGCCACTTGCATCTATATTGTTAGGGGAGATATGTTCAAGAAGATTCAAATCAATTCTGGGGTTTTCCAGTGTTGTCACTGTGTTTATGCTCCCAATTTGATCCCGCTCCTCTAGAGTTCAGATTGGGTGACCTGATGCAGCGTATCACTGATACCACCATATAGAAGCTTCTTTCACACGTTTCTCTATTGTCGGTTTTATGGATTTTCTTTTTATTAGTTATTTCTTTTATTTCTAAGATGAGCTCTAGGGTTTCCGAGCTAAATTTAGGGCTAGCGGTTTTGCCCTCAATCTCATTTTGAGCGTTTAAATTTGCCACTTTGTAAAGACAGCTTTTAATTTAATAAACTTATCGAGAATTCATTCTCAAACCTAAATCTTCGAACTCTTGTTTTCTCTTGAAGAAATCTTGAGCTCTAAGCTACAAGTTTTGCTCACGATCCGTTGATAGTTGAGAACTCTTGTATATCCTGCTGCAACAGATATAAGATTGGGAAAACCTCTAAAAACTAGTTTCCTTAAAATACAAAAATCCCTTTAAACAGAGATACCATTTTGAGCATGTCATGAGAGCAATTACATCAGAGGAGCAGACTAGAAGATTACAAATATATAGGAGACTACACACACAAAAAAAAAATGTTTTCCTCAAAAATACTAAATTTATTTCAAACACTTACGAACAATAGACATATTTCTCGAGTTCAATTGACATAGTGCGGGTAAACTACCTCGTGTGTAATTTATAAATATATTTAGGTCACGTAATTTGATTTATCTAGGGTTTGTAACTTTAATTTTCTATTCACCAAGTTCTTTATATAAAGCAAGTAGTTTTAATCCTTCTTCTGATTTTTTCGAGTTCAATAAGAGAAGAGCTGAGGGATTGGATAAGATCGATTAGCCTAAGATCAACACCATTGCCTATTGCCTATGTTCAGGTAATCAGGTTTCAATTTCTTGTTTAGATACAATAATGTTGTTTACTTGTGAATTCCAGAAGAACAAAGATAAATCTTTTTTTTTTTTTTGATAGCGATAAAGTTGTTTTCTCTTTTTTTTTTTTTTTGATAAAATTCAATCAAGGGAAAATCTAAAAGTTGTTTTCTCTGCTTAGTATTATCTAACTTACAAGAAAATAGAATATAATATTTCTTCTCCTCCTATATTTATAATAATGGATAGATAATTTAGCTAAACGGAAAAGAGAAGAAGAGATGCTGAGAAAAAATAAAAAACTGAAAGGAGAAGACGTGCATGTGACGCTTCCGTGCGAATTGGAGGAAGAAATACTTTCTCGGCTTCCACCTTTATCTCTTGCTCGATTCAGATCTGTTTGCAAACAATGGAATGCTCTTTGCAATGAGAATAGGTTCATCAATAACCACTTCGCTCTTGCTCGTCCTCAGTTCATCTTCATAACCAATTCCAATATTTATTCGATAGAGATTATCGGTCTCGACGGGGTTGATCCAACGATTAAGTTGCGAGAGCTACCTTCCTCTCGTACCGCTTACCGTGAATTGAATTTGGATTACATAACCATCACTACTTGCGATGGTCTCTTGTTTTGTAACTATTCGGATTATCCGAAGGTTACAGCACTCTGGAATCCGTGGTTGAAACAAGTTAAATGGATCGAGTGCAATGATAAATATTTTGATGTCTCTGGCGTGGGATACGATAATACTAGACCCGAAAAGGTTTACAAGATCTTAGGGTCTTTTATATCTAGTTGTAAAGTCGAGAAAGTTGCGATCTACGAGTGTGCCTCTCACGCGTTCAAGTCTATTGATTCATTTAACGAGCAATGCCCCTTAAGCCAAGTTAAACGATTCAGTGTGTCCTTGAACGGAAATCTCTATTGGCGTACTCGTATTCCCCACACTTTAGACTTTTACATCCGAAGCTTTGATTTCTCGAGGGATATATTCAAACACTTTTGTCTCCTTCCGTGCCGCGAGAATCATTTTCGCGATCAACTTGTTCTCGGAGTTTACAAGGGAGATAGGTTGTCCTTGTTAAAGCAATGTTATGTGACAAGGAGCGTTGAGATTTGGGTTACGAAGAAGAAGATTGATAGTAACAACAATGGAACAGATGAAGTTGTGTGGATTAAGTTGTTGACTTTGCCAACAAGTAACTTGCCAAACTTATATAATAAGTGTTATGGCATTAGTTACTTCATCTATGACAAGACCACCCTTATCATGTGTTGTGGTGAAGATGATGGTGGAACGGCTTTCATCTACATTGTCAGGAGAGATTTGTTCAAGAAGATTCCAATCGATTCTGGGGTTTTCCGGTGTTGTCACTGTCTTTATGCTCCCAATTTTATCCCGGTTCCTTTAGATTCAGATTGCAAGTCTAATAATTTTATCACATTTTCTTGAACCTTGTTCATGTCTCTGTTTTCTTAGGTTTAATATTCAGTTTGTGTAAGATTTCTTCATGATAAATATAGACTTACGATTTCCAACATTGCTGATCAACACATTTTCACTTTGAACTTAACCAAAAGGTTTGTAATCATTGAGTAAATTTCACAAATATACGTAAGAAATGTAAAAGTTGTGAACAATAAGGTGCTTTTAGTGTGTCATATGATTAAAGATCAGCGTAGGTCACCTACTTTATCTAAAAAGGATATTCACATCAATTATCACAATTTCTTGAATCTGTATACTATATCTCTATGGATACTATATCTCCAACGTTGCTGTAGGAAATTTCCTCTATAGGTTTTTGTCTATCAACCTGTCTCAGAGTCCTCCCAGCTCTCATCTATATGGGTGATTTATGGGCCGAAAGTGTAATATAAAGGCCCATGGGCTAAATTGACAATTTAATATATAAAAAAATCGATCGAGAGAGAGGACTCTGAGTAAAAAACGGGAAGAAGCTTGAGCTTGTCACTAGCTTAGAGGAAAATGTTAACTTCATCAATGCCTCATTGTCATGTACCTCAAAACCTAAGCCTTTTCGGATTTTCTCCACTCAAGTCTTCTTCTTTCGCCCTTTTTCTCAGACCCTTTTCTCTCTACCCACCAATCTTCGCTTCTTCTTCTCCGAGTCCGAGTCGTCGTCCTCCTCGCACCGCCGGTTACCGTCGCAGTGACCCTTCTCATCCTCCAAGACGCAAGTGGAGTAGTTTCGAAGAGCAGAAGAGAGAAGGTAGGTCTCCGATGGAGAAAGATAAAGCTAGTAGTTTTAATCCTTCTTCTGATTCTTTCGAGTTTAATAAGAGAAGAGCTGAGGGATTGGATAAGATTGATAAGCCTAAGAAGAATCTCAAGAGGAACACTCGCACCCTTAATCCTACCAACACCATTGCCTATGTTCAGGTTTCAATTTCTATCTACTCCAATCTTTGAATTTCAATCTTAAAATGTAAAAGATAATGCATAATTTTCTAACTGTTCATCTGCATTGTTAGATCCTTGGGACTGGAATGGATACACAGGATACATCACCTTCTGTATTACTCTTCTTTGACAAACAAAGATTCATCTTTAATGCTGGAGAGGTAAGCTTTATGCAATTTTATTATAAAGTGTGTAGCTTTAGTCGTCTTATTGGTTAAAAAATTGAATTGCAGGGGTTGCAACGATTCTGTACAGAACATAAAATTAAGTTATCAAAGGTATGATTAAACTTCGTCTTTTGAACATATTAGTAATTGTGTTTCTTTACTTTGTGTGATGAGGTGAGTTTGAAATGGTATGATCTGTACTCTTTTCAGGTAGATCATATCTTTTTGTCTCGTGTGTGCTCAGAGACAGCAGGCGGGCTTCCAGGTTTGTTTTCGTGATCCATGATGCATCAGCTTCTATGAGTTTGCTGCTAGATTATTTAACGGTGATAAGTTTTCTTCTTTTAAATGTTTTAGGTCTTCTACTGACTCTAGCTGGTATCGGTGAAGAAGGACTATCCGTGAGTGTTCTTCTCATATGATCTCTTTGTATGTTTCCTGTCTGCTTTTCCTGAGTTTATTCTTGCCATTCTGACAATTAGTATATGAATGGAATTGCTGAATTTTTAAAATCTCTTTTGTCACAAAGGTAAACGTATGGGGTCCTTCGGATCTTAAGTATTTAGTTGACGCTATGAGGTCATTTATCCCTCGTGCTGCAATGGTTCATACAAGAAGTTTTGGTCCATCATTGAATGCATCTGACTCCACGCCTCAGAGTGGGTTAAGTAAACCCAAAGATGATGCCTATGTTCTTGTGGATGACGAAGTTGTGAAAATCTCCGCCATTCTCTTAGAACCAAGTTGCACAGAAGAATCCGGCAGCAAACCTGGTGAAACGGCAGTTATATATGTATGTGAATTACCTGAAATCAAAGGAAAGTTTGACCCAAAGAAAGCCATGGCTCTTGGACTGAGAGCTGGTCCAAAGTATAGTTATCTTCAGTCTGGACAGTCAGTCAAGTCAGATTTTAAAGATATTACGGTATGTCTCAAAAAGCAATCATTGCGAGTATCCACAACCCAGTATCAGTTTCTATACAATCAGGCTAACACTGTTCACGCTTGATCATAGGTTCATCCGAGTGATGTGATGGGACCTTCAGTTCCTGGTCCTGTTGTTTTGCTTGTGGACTGTCCAACAGAGTCACATGCCGAGGAACTGCTATCTATCCCGTCTATGAAGACTTATTATTCATGTCCTGACAATTTAACAGATGGAGCTAAGCTTGTTAATTGTATTATTCATCTAAGTCCAGCTTCTGTAACAAATAGTTCTACTTACCAAAGCTGGATGAAGAGATTCCATTCTGCCCAGCACATTCTCGCTGGACATGAAGCGTGAGTCTTCTCAACCATGGTTCTTTCTCATAAAAGAACTGTTGAATTTATTTGTCTAATATGTAGTTTTGGTGTTTGTCCAGGAAGAATATGGAGTTTCCAATCCTGAGAGCCAGTTCTAGAATCACAGCCAGACTTAACTATTTATGCCCACAGTTCTTCCCTGCGCCTGGATTTTGGTCTCCTCAACATGTTAATAACTCGATAAACTCCACTTCTTTTAGCAAGGTTACAAATGCTTTTCTGATATTTTCTTACTGAGTTGAATCTGGCTGTGTTCATTTAGTCAAGCTGTGTTCTTTTCTTCTCTTGTCAGTGCTTCGATTCGAATCTTGGTGAAAGCATTTCCGCTGAAAATCTCCTCAAGGTATTGAATGTTGCTTCAGTGTATTGCTTCGTCCATATGAAACTTGCTTCCTTTAGCTCTTAAGTCTCCCTCTCACTCATTGTTATATTGTGGGCAGTTCACTTTGCGTCCACATAGTAATCTTGGGGTAGACAGAACTTGTATCCCTAGTCGATTGACATCCTTACGAGTGATGGATGAGCTTCTTTCAGAAATTCCTGAGATCAGCAGTAAGACCGAAGAAATCAAGCGGTTATGGAATGGACACCACAACAAGATGATGATCGAAGAGCCATGGCTGGGTGAAAGCACTGTTCCAAGCTGTCTTGAAAACATTAGAAGAGATGACATGGAGATAGTTCTTTTGGGCACTGGTTCCTCCCAACCCTCAAAATACCGAAATGTCACCGCAATTTACGTCGACCTATTCTCTAGAGGCAGTATTCTCTTGGATTGTGGGGAAGGTACCTTAGGCCAGCTTAAACGAAGATATGGTTTAGAAGGAGCTGATGAAGCAGTCAGAAACTTGAGATGTATATGGATCTCTCACATCCATGCTGATCACCATACGGGTCTTGCAAGAATCCTTGCTCGTAGACGTGAGCTTCTGAAAGGAGTGGCTCATGAGCCAGCAATTGTGGTTGGACCGAGACCGCTTAAGAACTTTCTCGATGCATATCAAAGACTTGAGGATTTAGATATGGAGTTTCTTGATTGCAGGAACACCACAACAACTTCTTGGGCTTCTCAAGAAACCACCCGCCCTGAGAAAAATACCAATAGCGGTAATGCAGAGGGTTCATTGTTCAGTAAAGGAAGTCCAATGCAGAGTATTTATAAAAGATCAAGTACCCCACTGACGGACAATTCTTCAGCTTTACCATTCTTGAAGAAACTGAAAAATGTCCTAGGCGAAATGGGTTTGGAGGATTTGATTAGCTTTCCTGTTGTGCATTGCCCTCAAGCCTTTGGGGTTGTTGTAAAAGCAGCGAAAAGAAAAAACATTGCTGGAGATGAGATTCCTGGGTGGAAAATGGTTTACTCAGGTGACACAAGGCCTTGTCCTGAGATGGTTGAAGCTTCAAAAGGAGCAACTGTTCTTATACATGAGGTTTGTGAGTTTTTCTATATAAGCAAAAATTGTCTAAAACATTTACATCTTTCACATTCTAAAGATCTATCATTTTTTCTAACTTTAACAGGCGACATTTGAGGATGCGTTGGTAGAAGAAGCTGTGGCTAAAAACCATAGCACAACGAAAGAAGCAATCAACGTCGGATCTTCAGCAGGCGTATACCGAACCGTACTGACCCATTTTAGCCAGAGATACCCAAAGATACCGGTGATTGACGAGTCGCATATGCACAATACATGCATTGCATTTGATATGATGAGTATAAACATGGCGGATTTACATGTCCTTCCAAAGATTTTACCTTACTTCAAAACTCTATTCAGAAACCAGGTGGTTGAAGAAGAAGAAGAAGAAGAGACTGATGACGATCGCTTAATAAGTGACAAAGTCCCAAGCTTTTTCATCAATTAGAGTTACTTGAGAATGTTCTGTTCTGTCCCTGTTTTTGACTGTTGTATTGTCTTTAGAATATATCAATTTAATTGATTTTTCCTGTGATGGTGACAGAGGAAATAAATAAGATTCATGTGCATAATGTGAATTGTGAAAATAAAATAAAAATTGGAAATTGGGAAATAAGGAAAGACACCGAAGAACACAGAACCATTCTTCTTTATTGACCGCTTCCTTCCTTCTCTGTCACCTACGAACGAACCGGTGAGTTTTTTTCTCCTCAATTTCTCCGATCCCTACAAATTTCTCAGAGGTTATTGATTCGATTCCGATTGATTCATGGTTTTGTTGTCTCAAGGGTCTAATTTTACCTCTGCGTTGATTGGTTTGTAGGCGAAATTTGGATCCCGATCGTGATCTTTAGTGTGGTGAATTTGAGCTGAAATTGGAGCTTAAAGGATCGGTTTTTTGACTGATCTGATAGTTGTGAGGATCGGTCTTTCATAAAGTTGTTGTCTTTGAAGCTTGTTTGAGGGGCGAGGAGGAAAAGTTGTGTTTTTTTGGGAATTCGTCATGGATACGAGTAGGAGAGCTGTGGAATCGTATTGGAGGTCGCGGATGATAGATGCGGTTACGTCTGATGAGGACAAAGTAGCGCCTGTGTACAAATTGGAAGAGATCTGTGACCTCCTTCGTTCTTCTCATGTCAGCATCGTCAAGGAGTTTTCTGAATTCATTTTGAAACGTCTTGATAACAAAAGCCCCATTGTTAAGCAGAAGGTATTTTCGATTATGTTCGTTTTCTGTTTTTGATGATTGTGTTCGCATGGATAAGTTGGCATGAAGATTTTGATTGAAATGTTGCATGTGGGGATAAATTTAGTTTGCTGGTAGATGTCTGTTTTTGAGAATGGATCAAAGAGAAAGCTTTATGTGTTTGATTATAGTATAGAGTTTATAGGGAAACGTAGAATTGATAACTATCCAATCTAGTTGTGGTTAAAAGCTCTGTAGGAACTGGTTATGCTGATTCTGGTTATTATATGTACACAGGCTCTTAGGTTGATAAAGTATGCTGTGGGAAAGTCTGGCTCAGAGTTTAGACGAGAAATGCAAAGGAACTCGGTTGCAGTTCGCAATCTGTTCCATTACAAGGGGCATCCAGATCCTTTAAAAGGGGATGCACTTAATAAGGCTGTACGGGAAACTGCTCATGAAACAATTTCTGCTATATTCTCGGAAGAGAATGGTACTAAACCAGCTGCTCCTGAAAGCATCAACAGACGCATTGAAGGATTCGGGAATACTAACTTTCAGGTGCCCTCTAATGATAATAAATCGTTCCTGAGTGAGGTGGTGGGTATTGGAAGTGCATCTATAAAGCAAGGAATCAGTAATTTTGCTCAAGGCCATTTGCCAAAGAAGAATGAGAATGGAAGCAGCAGCTACAGAGGTCCAAATCTCCACAGATCATTAACTATGGAAAATGAGAACTTCAGTAGATACGATCCAGTTAAGCTGGGGAAGGATGGTAACTACGGAATGTCTAAGAACACTACTGGTGGATCTTGGGGCCATACTTCCGGAGAAGCAAGTGAAAGTTCTGCTTCAGTTCGTGTTGAGAGCAAAACTCGTGAGGAAAAGCTGCTGGAAACCATTGTTACATCTGGCGGTGTACGCCTGCAGCCAACTCGTGATGCTCTTCATGTTTTCATTTTAGAGGCTGCAAAAATGGATGCTGTTGCTTTAAGCATTGCTCTTGACGGGAAGCTCCAGTCCGCAATGTGGCAGGTATGTTTATGATAATTTCCTAGTCACCTCCTTGTAAAACTGTTTGATGCTAATGTATCTTTTTCTAGATTATATCATTTGGATTTTTTTTTTCTGGCTTGTTTCTTTTGTAGTGTTAAAAATCTTTTTACTTTTTAAGAAACTGTGATTTCTGTTTGGCAGGTTCGGATGAAAGCTTTATGTGTCCTTGAGGCCATTTTGAGGAAGAAGGAAGATGATAATTTTTCAATTGTACATACCTATTTTAGTGAAAACATGGATGCCATACAGCGATGCTCAGAGTCTCCGCAATCTTCCCTTCGAGAAAAGGCTAACAAGGTAAGCTTTTGCTTGTTATAAGCATTCACAAGTTAAGCTTTTGGCATTATGCTAATTTGTTGGTTAACTCAAGATACCGGCGTTGTGTAGGTTCTGAGCCTTCTAAATGGTGGACAGTCAAGTGGGTTGATGAGCAGCTCAGATAATACTGTGAAGCGAGAGGCTGCTGTAGATTTACCTGACTTGATCGACACTGGTGATTCAGACTATATAACAGAAGATACTTTGAACAATCTGAATGCTATAGATACTGGCAGTACTGTGGCGAAAGCAGCTCCATTGATGGATGATGATTGGTTTGGGGATAGCTCTGACACTGTACTGAGCAGCAGCGAGAAGAAAAATGATGACGACCCCTTTGCAGATGTATCATTTCATCCAAATGAAGCAAAAGAAAGTGCAGATGACCTGTTCTCTGGAATGACTGTCGGGGAAAAGTCCGCTGCTGCTGGTGGTAATCATGTGCCTGAGCTATTTGATATGTTTGGGTCAACTGCAAAACTTGAAGCAGAGCCAAAAGATTCAAAAAACATAAATGATTTGATGGCAAGTTTCTCCATTGACGAAAACAATTCAAATCAGAAAGGCTCGTCTTCAAGCACCCTTCCAGAAGATTTATTTGCAATGCCGAGTACCACCAGCCACCAAGCACCGGAAAATCCTGTTGGAGGGATTCTTGGCTCACAAAATCCTGGGTTTATTCAAAACTCTATGCTTCCTGGGGGTGTTATGCCCTTCAATTTTCCTCCAGGGATGATGATGAATCCAGCTTTTGCATCCCAACCTTTGAATTACGCTGCCATGGCAAGCTTGTTAGCTCAGCAGCAGCAGTACCTTGGTAATATATCCAACTTCCAGCAGTTTGGCAACCTGAACGCTCAGGGTAGCGGAAATGTTCTTTCTATGGGTACTAGTGGAGGGAATCAGTCCGCACTCCCTGATATATTCCAGCCAAATTTTGGTAATCAGGCTCCAACCTCAACAATGAATGGTTCGAAAAAAGAAGATACCAGAGCCTTCGATTTCATCTCCGTAAGTTTTGCAATCTTGCTCCTGATCTTTGATTTTTAATTTTGGTCAACTTGCCATTTGTTGTTGTACATGCAACATCAAATCTCGCATGTAATATCTAGCTCAATTAAAACCACCTAAACATAGTCAGACTAGATCTACTTTTGTGGCATAGATACATAACCTTTGTTTGATTTACATACACTCATGGAGCAACGACATATATGTTTGTGTTGTTCAGGATCATCTTGCATCAACCCGCGACACAAAGAGAGTATCTTGATGCTTGCTTACAAAATTCCGCCTTTCCGTGTTAAATGTTAATTCAAAAGATGTGGACACAAGGGTGCAGGAAGCTAAAACGTTTATTTATGAGAGCTGTATAGACTTAAGGAGAAAATGGAGATAGCTTTATAATTCATCCGGAAAAAGTTAAGAAGAATCATATGGTAAGCTTTTTGCTTCTTTTAATCTGTTTCCTCGTTTGTCTTTGGTTTTTCTCTTCTTTGGAGTCCATTGTTCTTGGCATGAACATGTAGTTGTAGAGTTGCTCTTGTTTCACATACTTGTTACTAGATGTGTTTATTTCGTTCTTTTGCTATATAATATCTGAAGAGACTTGTGTCTGTGTAACGAAAGTAGACAAGAAAGGAAAAAAAAAGAGTCATTTACATTTCTTCTTGGAGTTGCATATAATAATACTCTAATGAAGCATATGATCAATATAGTTCAAGTCAAGTCCAGTTCTTTTTGTTTTTCTTGATTTAAAAAATGTTGTTTATGGAAAAACGAAATCCAGGGATAATTTTGTTTACTCGTAATGTCCAGTTTTTTAATTACAGTTTCTCCAAATTGTAGAATTTATGAGCTCACAATAAAATAAGGTAAATATAATCTAAGTAGCTGCAATGAGCTTTTTTTTTTCTCACACGTTAGACTTTGTCCATATCTCAACATTTCTTGTTATGCTCATTTTACTCAATTAAAGCTTAGGATACATCGTCAAGTGTTTGCATTTGTCTACGATAAGAAAGAAAAAAAAAACTATTACTTTCTCTATTTAGGTGAACTATTCAGAGTTTTGATTAATGAGAAAGAGAAAAAATAATTCCCTTTTAGTTTTTACCTGAAGTTTAATAAGAGTGTATCTTTTATGTACTTTCCACCAACGGTAAAGATAGAAAAAAAGACTAAAAAATGGTGAAAGTTACTTTTCTTATCTTTAAAAGAAGTGGTAACGGGAAAATGATGGGTGACAATCCTCAAAATTTAAATCCAAGTCATAAGATTATTGATGTTCCCACTTCTCATATTGTGTAAATATCAAAATAAAGAATAAAAAAAATACCTCAACGGGCAGATTGATAGTGACATATGGAAGTAACTTTAGACTCTCGAAGTCTCTCTCAAATAGGAAACGAAGGAGACATTGAGATGATTATTAGAAAGTTATAAACGATCTCTTATGTGAATCTTTTATTTTTGTAACGTTTTCTATTATGTGAATCTTTTATGTTTCTATGTTCGCAAATCAACTCTAAATTTTATTTCGTTATGTTCGAATATAGTTTAATCAAAGAATATCAATATAGTCAAACTTATGTAACTACTAATAGTTGCGGGTTTTTTTTTTTTTTGGATTTTTTAAAAGCCTCGTGATAATTGAAGATGGGTAGGCTAAATGTCACTTAAAATGGAGCGTCTAATTTCATTAGTCAAATTAAGTATTTATTTTCTTTGATAGTTTGACACATTTCCACCAAATTAATTAGCCTTTGAAATAAGAAATAGTTAACAAATAGTATGTTTGTTGATAAAAAGAAAAGAAAAAGTCTAGTTGACCCAAAACAAAGAACAATCTAAAAACAAGAACACAATAATAGTATGCAGTTTTTTCAAAAAAAATAAAAATAATAATGGTATATAAAATCAAAATCACAATTTACTCATGTGTATATGCAAAAAAAAAAATTACTATATTTAAAAGTTTAATTTGATATGATTGTAAGTTTTGAACATAATATGAAAAGAATTCTCCATGGTTATTTGTTTTGCTTTATATCTACGGTCTCACATAGTCACATCCAATTAACAGAAAAAAAAACGTGTTATGTTTTTATTCTAAATAGAATTTTTATTATACAAAAAAAAAAAAGCCTCGGAAATGAAGCTCTCATTAGCAGTCTATAAAATACATGTCTCACATCCACACAAAAAGAAGAAGTAAGTATCAAACGAGTACAAAAAATGACGTCACTCAACAGCTCTTCATCACCAACACCATCATCATCAGACCAATCTGATGCAACAACTACAACAAGCACCGGCTTGTCCGAAGTAGAAGCTCCACCGAGAAACAACAACACAAGAAAGAGAAGAAGAGATTCTTCTGCTGCTTCATCTTCATCTTCTTTAAAGCAACATCCTGTTTACAGAGGTGTACGGATGAGAAGTTGGGGCAAATGGGTCTCCGAGATCCGACAGCCTCGTAAGAAAACTCGTATTTGGCTCGGCACTTTCGCCACCGCTGACATGGCTGCTCGTGCTCACGACGTCGCTGCTCTCACCATCAAAGGCTCCTCCGCCGTCATTAATTTCCCTGAGCTTGCTTCTCTCTTCCCTCGTCCGGCGTCGTCTTCGCCGCATGATATCCAAGCAGCCGCCGCAGAAGCCGCCGCCATGGTGGTCGAAGAAAAAATGTCAGATACAGAGGCGACGCCGGAGGAAGCACCGTCGTCGGAATCTTCTTGCGTGGCGGCGGAGTCAGAGGAGGAGAGGTTGGAGGAGATCGTGGAGCTGCCTAACATTGAAGAAGAAGGGAGATGTGACCAGAGCTTGACGTCACGTGATGATCTGGCTTATTCTGAGCCGTTCGATTGTTGGGTGTATCCTCCGGCTATGGATTTTTATGAAGAAATATCGGAGTTTAATTTCGTGGAATTATGGAGCTTTAATCATTAATTAAGTTAGTTAATTATATTGCTGTCATAGATAACATCTGTTTTTTTTTTGTACGGATTGTTTGATACGTAGTACTTGTAGTAAGTTGTAACATAGGTTAGTTTTTTTTATAAAAAAAATTTGGTAAATTCATAGGCTAGTTAGTACTATACAATTATTGTAAAATACTTATATTATGTATATGTGTAATATAGCATACAATTATTGTAAGTTTGGAAATTTGAAACAATCGTTACGCAATGTTCTTTGTACTAGTGAATTAACAAACAAAAATGTTGTTTTACTCTTCTTAACGTATACATTCTTAAAGAGTCAATGGTCATTCTTCTTTGTTTCTTCTTATCAGTCAATGACCCTCTTCTTCTCCAATGCTGACCTGACTTACTATAATTGATCTTAAAACGATATAAGTTTACATTGTTTTAAAAGTATTTTCCAATCTACATCTTTTAGATCCAGAAGCAAGAAATTTATATTATAGTTAGGTAACTGTGAGAGTTTAGGTTGGAACATAATTTTTAATGACGGTTAAATACGATAACGCATTATAGAACACGCTAAAATAATTCCAATGAGGTACACCGTCCAGTCTTTTTTTACTAATTTAATATTTTGGCTTATTATATCTTATCATTTACCAACATTACTTATACAATAATTCTTATGTTCGTAAAAAATGACATTGCTTCTGCTGTTAAAAACGTTTACAGTAACCAACATAAAATCACTGTGGGTAAAATTCAATTCCTTCTTTCGACCAACATAAGTACAGAACATAACGGTCAAGTACTTTTGTTTTGTTTTTGGTCACGGGTTCATCCATATTAATTCATACTAAATTCCATTATAGGTTTGTTTTTATCAAACTAATAAAACGATTGCCAACAAAAAAGAAAGAGATCAATAATTCAAACAAAAAAAAGCATTTGGCTTTTTCATAAAAAGTGGAATTACAGTTCAAATTCCTTAGTCACATCTCTTTATTTTGAAACTGTTACGTGGTATTAGTTTTCTTAAACACGAGTTTTGTTGTGTTTATTTTGGCTTAAATGTAGTATTATTTAATTGAATATGAGTAGAAGATGGGTGGTGTGGGAACGAGCAACCATATTAAGAGTCAAATATTGCCGTTGTGGACCTCTTTTGTTGTTGTCAATTTCTTTTGACGAATTCAATTTTTTTTTACCGTTGTACGTATAAGAAGATAAATAATTTTGGACATTTTATATGAGACAAGAAATATGAGAAAACTATTTTTAATCTCTAGTGTAAATAAATGATTGTTACCATTAAAATAAAAGTGAAGTGGATTAGCACAACTATGTATGTAAGAATTTTAAATAATAAAATAGAAAATCGGTTGGGTATTTTGATTTTTTAGTATACATGAATCATGATGATGAGTCCGGTGGGTTCAATAATAGAGACTAAGCCAGTAAGGTGGCCAATTACCAATAAGGAGGTTAAGTAAATGATTTGGTTAACGGGTTAAACTAAAAATAAAATAAAATTTGGTAATACGTAAATATCATTTAGTTGTCAAATCTTGCAAGTCAAATGTTATCTGCTCTGTAATAATATTCAAATAGTTTTATGTATATCGACCAACCTAAGGACTCTAGATTCTCGATTCTCATCAATTTGCAATTTCACCTAAAAACCTAACCACAAAATCATTCATTAGCATGTGCCATTTTTCAATGTCTCCCAAAAAAAATTAATAATCCCCATGCTTTACATAAGTTCATGTCACAAGCCAGAAAAATTCATAAACTTTTTATTCAAGATATGTGAAATAATATAAAATTGACCATTGCTTCAACATGGATAAAAAGGGGAGTTACTATATTGAAGCACAAAGAATTATCTAACATTACTAAGATTACATAGGAAAGATAAAAGATCAAGCTCATTGCCTCTATAATGGGTTCTGATGTTTACACCCCCTAAGCTCATCTTATGAACTGTTTTTTGCGGTAGTCATGTCCAGTTTCAGCACCGTCTCTTCGAGCTCAAGCCGTTTGATCTTCCTTAGTTCAAGGATGCTCGGTGGCATTGGTTTAATGGAGCCATAGAGCTCAACAAGAGTGAAGAATTCTTGTTTCGTAAGACTTTTCTTTTGAACCAGTTTCTCTACCACCTCGTCCATGAGCGTCCTGTTTCTTCCAAGAATCTGGTGTATGCGTTTGTAAAATATATTTAACAAAACCAATATATAGGAGATGCTATAATATAGATGTAGTTGCTTTAGAAGTCTCCTTTACCTCTTTAGCACGCTCGTAACATATGTTCAATATCCGCAGCGCCTCCAGATCAATATCCTGCAAATCCAAGTATCAGAAGATGATATTTGTTTCTGAAAATTGAAGTGAAGACAATTCAAGATATGGCCTTACGTTTATTCGATCAGCTACCCAGAAGTTATTCAAGCCATGATGCTTATCAGAAAGACCACCAAGAACCAATGATCGAGCAGCTGATCTTGCGTTATCCGATGTTTCAGCCCATATAGTGCTTAACTGGAACAAATCATTAGCAAAGATTGGTAACTAAAAAACACAACTGGAGAAAAGTAAAATCACAGATCTAGATCATGGCTAACGGAGATCATAACTCTCACCTGATCCTCACCATACCATAGTTCATCTGCAGCACGAGGTGCTAACTGAACAGTGATGTGATCCAAGATGGATTGTCGGCTGCATATAGTAGACCACCAAAAGACATAGATTAACGTAAAGAACCCATGTAATCATGAAAGTAAATCTGTATGATTAAAGCCACAAACCTAAGCATGCCTTCCTTAAATTTGATATGATCCATCTTCACCCGGACATAACCCAATTCTCTACCAGCTCTAGGGTTGATTGTCAGCTGGTCAAAGTCATCGAAATGTCAGAGTGCGATAAACCAGAAAGTTGAAGCTTCAATATATGAAGGGAGTTTGACGGGGGAAAAAATATTTAAGAAACCTACAAATTCTATATTCTTCAGATCAGGAAAGTTCACTGCTACAACAGCCATGGCAGCTTCATTGATAGCAACTTGTCGCCATATCTCCTCGCTCCTGTCTTTTCTATCTAACATTCCTCTTTCTTCTATTTGTGCAGCTTGAAGCAAATCATCTGTTGTTAACTGCATTAGAGTTACAGAAAATATATGATTTCTCAGTCTTTTACTTGCACTTCTCAACTTAATATTAGCCTAAGCTACTTCCTCTTGAGCACAACATCCAAGCACTAAATCCAATTCAATCACACCATATTACCAGATGCTACACGATCCTAACATTTGAAACCAAACTCATCCAAAAACAAGAGCAGATATGACTAATTCGGACTAAAAATATTGATCCCACCTCTGTTCTTCCATCACGCATCATATTAATTGCCGCGATCTCAACAATATTAGCAAGCTCTGCTCCAACCATGCCATCTGTCATGCTAGCAACTGCCATATAGTCTAAATCTTCAGCCATCGGCTTCTTACGAGCATGAACCTAAATAGCAAAACCGAAACAAAGATATAGCTTTGGACCGAGGACAAAACTCTACTTTACAGAAGAAATTTTGCAAATTCACAAGTTTACGAACACATAAACACAGATACCACGCCGTTACCTGAAGAATTTCCATCCGTCCAATAAGACCAGGTTTAGGGATAAAAATTTTGCGGTCGAACCTTCCAGGCCTCACAAGCGCAGGATCGAGAATGTCCGGTCTGTTTGTGGAAGCAATGGTGATGACCTCTCCTCTTCCTTCAAAACCATCTAAAGAAACAAGGAGCTGGGACACAATATGAATAAAATTATCATCCCGTTATATAACGAAGAAAACTACTACCAAATCTGAAATGTCTGGAACCTGATTAAGAGTGGCATCCCTTTCTTGTCCTCCAGAACCCTTTATTAACCCACGCTCCCTTCCAACAGCATCTAATTCATCAATGAAGACCACAGATGGAGCCTGCAGTGAGACCACCTTAAAATTAACATCCAGTAATAGACTAAATCCTCACTACAATGAGAATCAACATAAAAGCAGCCAAAAGGTATTGCTTTAATGATCTAATAGATAATAGATGCATCCAAAAGTGAGAATTAAGTTCCACGCTCAACACAAGTATAGAAAGTTACTAAACTTACATTCTCTCTAGCTTCTTGGTACAATGCTCGGACACGAGATGCACCAACACCAACATATATTTCCACAAACTGAGAAGCAGAGATAGAGAAGAAATTGACTCCTGCTTCACCAGCTACAGCTTTTGCCAGTAAAGTTTTTCCGACCCCAGGAGGCCCACATAAAAGAATACCACCTGAAGGAAAACAAAATTAAAGAGATGAATAAACAGCAGAAATTCATAGGTCATATAACTTTATACCAAATACTTGGTGATATAAGGAAAAGCAGAAGTTTTCACAACATTCAACCTGGAATCTTGACCCCTCTCCTGCGGTACATCTCCCCATGAGTAAAAAACTTAACGATTTCCTCAAGTTCAAGACGAATCTTCCCAAGTCCAGCAACATCTGTAAATTTCACATCCACACCTCTCTCAAGATACTCAGGTAGCCTCTTATTTGATGCTCTTCTCACACGTGCGCCTGACTTCATGAACTGCATCGCCATCTGTAAGTATGGATTTTTCTCACCTGTCCCTTCCTCAAGCTCCTCATCCTCTTCCTCAATTCCCTCCATCTCCCTTTCTAACTCCCTCATTTTCTTCCTCTCATCTGCTTCCGCCTTCTCAATCTTCAGCCTGTCTTCATAATCCTTCTTTTGCTTCCTATAGTTGAGCACCACCACACGATAAAATATATAAAAGAACACCAACCCAAGAGCTGTAGCCACATTAGGATCCTGAGCCATTCTTGCCCACATGTCTGCCATATCTCGATAATTTCTCCTCGCCTCACGCAAAGACTCCTCATATTTCTTCTTCCTAACAGCCTTCCTTTTCTTCCTCTCCTGTTGTTTTTTCTGCGCCTTCATAGTCTTTTCCATCATCTCCCTTTCCTCTTTCATCCTCTCAATTTCCTCCTTCCTCTGCCTCTTGAAATCCTCCCTCATTTTCTTCAACTCAGCAGCGCGTTTAGACTCCTTCTTTGGCTTAACCCAAGTTAACA